GTTATCCTGGGTGGCTAACACTACCCAGGGTTATCCTGGCTGGCTAACACTACCCTGGGTTATCCTGGCTGGTTAACACTACCCTGGGCTATCCTGGCTGGTTAACACTACCCTGGGTTATCCTGGGTGGCTAACACTACCCTGGGTTATCCTGGCTGGCTAACACTACCCTGGGTTAACCTGGATGGCAAACACTACCCTGGGTTATCCTGGGTGGCTAACACGACCCTTTGTTATCCTAGCTGGTTAACATTACCCTGGGTTATCCTGGGTGGCTAACACTACCCTGGGTTATCCTGGCTGGCTAACACTCCCTACCCTGGGTTATCCTGGGTGGCTAACACTCCCTTCCATGGGCTATCCTGGGTAGCTAACACTACCCTGGGTTATCCTGGCTGACTAACACTACCCTAGGTTATCCTGGCTGACTAATGCTACCATGGGTTATCCTGGCTGGATAACAATACCCTGGGTTATCCTGGCTGACTAACTCTACCCTGGGTTACCCTGGGTGGTTAACACTACCCTGGGTTATCCTGGCTGACTAACCCACGCTGGGTTATCCTGGGTGGTTAACACTACCCTGGGTTATCCTGGCTGATTAACACTACCCTGGATTATCCTGGGTGGTTAACACTACCCTGGGTTATCCTGGTTGGCTAACACTACCCTGGGTTATCCTGGCTGGTTAACACTATCCAGGGTTATCCTGGCTGGCTAACACTCCCTACCCTGGGTTATCCTGGCTGGCTAACACTCCCTACCCTGGGTTATCCTGGGTGGCTAATACTCCCTACCCTGGGTTATGCTGGCTGGCTAATACTCCCTACTCTGGGTTATCCTGGCTGGCTAACACTCCCTACCCTGGGTTATCCTGGCTGGCTAACACTCCCTACCCTGGGTTATGCTGTCTGGCTAACACTCCCTACCCTGGGTTATCCTGGGTGGCTAATACTCCCTACCCTGGGTTATCCTGGCTGGTTAACAATCCCTACCCTGCATTATCCTGGCTGGATAACACTACCCTGGGTTATCCTGGCTGATAACTAACTGGTACCCTGCTGATAACACTACCCTGGGTTATCCTGGCTGACTAACACTACCCTGGGTTATCCTGGGTGACCTGGGTTATCCTGGCTGGTTAACACTACCCTGGGTTATCCTGGGTGATTAACACTACCCTGGGTTATCCTGGCTGACTAACACTACCCTGGGTTATCCTGGCTAACACTACCCTGGGTTATCCTGGGTGGATAACACTACCCTGGGTTATCCTGGCTGGATAACACTACCCTGGGTTATCCTGGGTGGTTAGCTCTACCCTGGGTTAGCCTGGCTGACTAACACTACTATGGGTTATCCTGGCTGACTAACATTACCCTGGGTTATCCTGGCTGACTAACACTACTCTGGGTTATCCTGGCTGGATAACGTACCCTGGGTTATCCCGGCTGGATAACAGTACCCTGGGTTATCCTGGCGGATAACAGTACCCTGGGTTATCCTGGCTGGATAACACTACCCTGGGTTTTCCTGGCTGGATAACAGTACCCTGGGTTATTCTGGCTGACTAACACTACCCTGGGTTATCCTGGCTGGACTAACACTACCCTGGGTTATCCTGGCTAACACTACCCTGGGCTATCCTGGCTGGATAACACTACCCTGGGTTATCCTGGCTGGATAACACTACCCTGGGTTATCCTGACTGGATAACACTACCCTGGGTTATCCTTGCTGACTAACACTACCATGGGTTATCCTGGCTGGATAACACTACCCTGGGTTATCCTGGCTGGATAACACTACCCTGGGTTATCCTGGCTGAATAACACTACCCTGGGTTATCCTGGCTGACTAACACTACCCTGGGTTCTCCTGGCTGACTAACACTACCCTGGGTTATCCTGGCTGGATAACACTACCCTGGGCTATCCTGGCTGACTAACACTACCCTGGGTTATCCTGGCTGACTAACACTACCCTGGGTTATCCTGGCTGGATAACAATACCCTGGGTTACCCTGGCTGGATAACAGTACAGTGGGTTATCCTGGCGGATAACAGTACCCTGGGTTATCCTGGCTGGATAACACTACCCTGGGTTATCCTGGCTGGATAACAGTACCCTGGGTTATCCTGGCTGGATAACACTACCCTGGGTTATCCTGGCTGGATAACACTACTCTGGGTTATCCTGGCTGGATAACACTACCCTGTGTTATCCTGGCTGGATAACAGTACCCTGGGTTATCCTGGCTGGATAACACTACCCTGGGTTATCCTGGCTGGATAACACTACCCTGGGTTATCCTGGCTGGATAACACTACCCTGGGTTATCCTGGCTGGATAGCACTACCCTGGGTTATCCTGGCTGGTTAACACTACCCTGGGTTATCCTGGCTGGTTAACACTACCCTGGGTTATCCTGGCTGGATAACACTACCCTGGGTTATCCTACCTGGATAACACTACCCTGGGTTATCCTGGCTGGATAACACTACCCTGGGTTATCCTGGCTGGATAACATTATCCTGGGTTATCCTGGCTGACTAACACTACCCTGGGTTATCCTGGCTGACTAACACTACCCTGGGTTATCCTGGCTGACTAACACTACCCTGGGTTATCCTGGCTGACTAACACTACCCTGGGTTATCCTGGCTAACACTACCCTGGGTTATCCTGGCTAACACTACCCTGGGTTATCCTGGCTGACTAACACTACCCTGGGTTATCCTGGCTGGATAACACTACCCTGGGTTATCCGGGCGGGATAACACTACCCTGGGTTATCCTGGCTGACTAACACTACCCTGGGTTATCCTGGCTGACTAACACTACCCTGGGTTATCCTGGATGGATAACACTACCCTGGGTTATCCTGACTGGATAACACTACCCTGGGTTATCCTGGCTGACTAACACTACCCTGGGTTATCCTGGCTAACACTACCCTGGGTTATCCTGGCTGGATAACACTACCCTAGGTTATCCTGACTGGATAACACTACCCTGGGTTATCCTGGCTGAATAACACTACCCTGGGTTATCCTGGCTGACTAACACTACCCTGGGTTATCCTGGCTGGATAACACTACCCTGGGTTATCCTGGCTGGATAACACTACCCTGGGTTATCCTGGCTGACTAACACTACTCTGGGTTATCCTGGCTGACTAACACTACCCTGGGTTATCCTGGCTGGATAACACTACCTTGGGTTATCCTGGCTGGATAACACTACCCTGGGTTATCCTGGCTGGATAACACTACCCTGGGTTATCCTGGCTGGACTAACACTACTCTGGGTTATCCTGGCTGACTAACACTACCCTGGGTTATCCTGGCTGGATAACACTACCCTGGGTTATCCTGGCTGACTAACACTACCCTGGGTTATCCTGGCTGACTAACACTACCGTGGGTTATCCTGGCTGACTAACACTACCCTGGGTTATCCTGGCTGACTAACACTACCGTGGGTTATCCTGGCTGACTAACACTACCGTGGGTTATCCTGGCTGACTAACACTACCCTGGGTTATCCTGGCTGATAACACTACCCTGGGTTATCCTGGCTGGATAACACTACCCTGGGTTATCCTGGCTGGATAACACTACCCTGGGTTATCCTGGCTGACTAACACTACCCTGGGTTATCCTGGCTAACACTACCCTGGGTTATCCTGGCTGGATAACACTACCCTGGGTTATCCTGGCTGGATAACACTACCCTGGGTTATCCTGGCTGGATAACACTACCCTGGGTTATCCTGGCTGGATAACACTACCCTGGGTTATCCTGGCTGACTAACACTACCCTGGGTTATCCTGGCTGACTAACACTACTCTGGGTTATCCTGGCTGGATAACACTACCCTGGGTTATCCTGGCTGGATAACACTACCCTGGGTTATCCTGGCTGGATAACACTACCCTGGGTTATCCTGGCTGGATAACACTACCCTGGGTTATCCTGGCTGGATAATCCTTCCCATCCCTTGGATCAAGACCAGCTCCAGATCCCTGGATCAAGAGATCCAATTTTTATCCCCGTAAGAGGTGGCCCGAGAGGGAAAGCTGTAAACCCTCACGGGTCCCGTAGCTCCCTGTCTAGCGGGGGAACAACACCAGGATAATCAACTCTAATCCACCTCCAGTTCCTCGGATCAAGAGCTCCTTTTTTTTAATAAGGGGGCGGAGATGTACCAGCTGAGGGACAGGTGTCCACCAGCTGTCACCCAGCTGTCCCCCGCCTCCCCCCGCCCACACACACCCCAGGACGGTCCCCCGGGGACAAATATATCCAAGGATAAAGTCAGAACAAGACAAAATGGCGGAGAAAATGGTGAATTAAGTTACCATGTGAAGCAGCTTCTTCCATGGTGTTGCAGAGCTTCCCACACTCTTCATTTATTCTTATTTATTGTTGCTTCAGCCTTTTTTATCATTATTATTTATCCAATTTATTTATTTTGTACTTGTAGAGGTGGATATAATCCTATATTTCCCCTTATGTCTTTTATATTTCTAGAAAATGGTGTTTTTTTTGGGATGGGTTTTTTTTAGTTTGTTTATTTTGGGACATATATAAATTCAGTTATATTAATTATCATATTAATATTTATGTATATATATGAATTACAATCCAAAATAACCTCAAAAATTCACATAAAGTTATTTTTTCTCATTAAGATCCTTGAAGATTTTTCTCCTCTTATATAATTAATATATAATAATATACCATTTTTAAACTTATAAAATAACAAATAATCATATAAATTTATTAATTATCAATTATATTTAAAAAAATGAGTAATTATTTTCTGTCTTGCAAATCATTTCTCCTTAAAAACGTTAATTATTTAACATTTGACACATGCAAATAATCCACATTTAACGTATTTACATAAATTAAACAATTTGAATAACTAATTATCAATTATTGACATAATTAAAATGATAAATAAAAAGATAAAGAAATATATAAAGTGTCATCTGCCTGAGACGTCGACATAGTGTAAACAACGAGGTGAATCACCTCGTTAATTACGTCATTACTCGTTAATTACCCGGCCAATTCTTTCCAAAAAATTAGGCAAAGTAGCTCTATGTCCTGCCTATTAATGGTGAAATTTTCAAAAAAATCCCTCGAGTAATAACTTGGGAAAATAATGATATTGATAATCCTCTTTTGGCTTTAGTAAAGTTAGACGAGATAAAGTCAAGTTTTGTTGCTTTATTTGTGCTTTATGGGGTTTTATTGTGTGTAATATGAGCTTTATTGTGTTTTATTGAGATGTTTCGCACACCAGAGACTATCAAAAAGTCCTGGTGGGCGAAACGTTGTCTCATTAAAGTCTGGACTTTATTGAGACGAGCGAAATGTCTTTTTAATAAAGTTATTATTTTTTTAAGTTAATAAAGTAACTGATGAGCAAAACGTCTTAATAAAGCACTTTATTATTTTTTCAATTAATAAAGTAACTAATGAGCAAAACGTCTTAATAAAGCACATTATTATTTTTTCAATTAATAAAGTAACTAATGAGCAAAACGTCTTAATAAAGCACTTTATTATTTTTTCAATTAATAAAGTAACTAATGAGCAAAACGTCTTAATAAAGCACTTTATTATTTTTTCAATTAATAAAGTAACTAATGAGCAAAACGTCTTAATAAAGCACTTTATTATTTTTTCAATTAATAAAGTAACTAATGAGCAAAACGTCTAATAAAGCACTTTATTATTTTTTCAATTAATAAAGTAACTAATGAGCAAAACGTCTTAATAAAGCACTTTATTTTTTTTTAATTAATAAAGTAACTGATGAGCAAAACATCTTAATAAAGCACTTTATTAATTATTTTTTTCAATTAATAAAATAACTAATGAGCAAAACGTCTTAATAAAGCACTTTATTAATTTTTTTCAATTAATAAAGTCACCAGTGGGCTAAACGTCTTCTCAATAAAGCACTTTATTATTTTTCAATTAAGAAAGTCCCTCTTGGGTAAAACATCTTAATAAAGTAACTGGTGGGTAAAACACATTAAAAAAGTATGTTGTGAATTATTTTTCAATTAATAAAAATCCCTGGTGGGCAAAATGTCTTAATAAAATAACTGGTGGGCAAAACATCTTAAAAGTATGTTGTCAATTGTTTTTTAAATCATAAAAGTCCCTGGTGGGCAAAACATATTAATAAAACACTTCTTTTATTCTTTTTAAATTAATAAAGTCCCCAGAAGGCAAAACGTCTTCTCAATAAAAAGCCGTAGATCATGTCATGTTTTATTAACGTACTTGACGATGTGTTCTACCATTGATGTTGGTGAGGGGCTCTTGATTTAGGGAATTGGATCTGTGCTCCAGTTCCCCGAATTAAGCCTGAGAATGCCTTCCACATCCCCCCCCCAGGCGCTGTATAATCCTCCCGATTTAGCACTTCCCCCTTGATTATAATAATAATAATAATAATAATAATTCTACCATTGATATCAAGTTCTTTACAGTTCAAAAGGCCTATCCAAAATGGCTGTTGAAAAGGCCTTTTTATGTGCTATTTAATTTTTTTATGTACTTTTTCAGTTGAATTTACATAACATTGGTCTGTATATGTAGGTACCGTAGTACCTCGGTACTTGAATTCATTCCAGAAAGCTGTTCGAGTACCGAACAAATTTTTCTCAACCCGTTTTCTTTTTTGGTTGGCTGTTATCATTAATCTTCTTAGGCGCCATGGTGACTTACTTATACCCATAATATAAAAAAAATGGGAAGAAACACGAAATAGTTTACAGCGAAGTTCTGGCTGGTTGTGTTTGTTTGGTCGAGTGCCGAGCAAACGATCAACTGCTGAGCGATTTTTTACCGAACGAATTGTTTGAATACTGAATTGTTCAAGTACCAAGGTTCCACTGTACCTGAGTGTTAGGTGACTGGTGTGGGTGGCATCCTGGGTGTTAGGTGACTGGTGTGGGTGGCATCCTGGGTGTTAGGTGACCGGTGTGGGTGGCATCCTGGGTGTTAGGTGACTGGTGTGGGTGGCATCCTGGGTGTTAGGTGATTGGTGTGGGTTGCATCCTGGGTGTTAGGTGACTGGTGTGGGTGGCATCCTGGGTGTTAGGTGACTGGTGTGGGTTGCATCCTGGGTGTTAGGTGACTGGTGTGGGTGGCATCCTGGGGACAAAATTAACCTAAGTTGTGGGAAATGCTCTACATAACCAGGAACTTTCTATATAGTATGTCATAGGTGTGAGTTATGGTCTGTATAAGTTGTACCATGTAGGTATAAATATTATTATTATTATTATTATTATTATTATTATTATTATTATTATTAAAGCATTACTGTGCATTTCAGGCCTATGGCAGCCTAAATATTTAATATAATTTCAGATGGCCGCTCAACTTAAGATACGAACGGCAGAACTGATGGTTCTTCAGAAAGAGATAGCAGTCATGAAAGAACTGATTGAAAAGTATAGAAATAATCTTAATCGATTGCAGGTGAGTTGATTGTACACTTGAGTGTACATTTGATTGTGCACTTGAGTGTACACTTGGTTGTACAGTTTATTGTATACAGTGGAACCCCGGCTTTTGGCCGCCCTGAGAATTGGCCACTTTGGGTTTCAACCACTTTTTTCGGCCAAATTTTGTCCTGCGTTTTTGCTGTTATACCTTGGGTTTCGGCCAGCGTACCAGACCTGTCCGCCTGCCCGCACTTGCACACCTCCCCGTGCAGGCGTTGTGAGCCAGTCTAGCATTGTTTATCCTTGAGTGAACATTACCCTGCACACTCATCCTACCAGCCAGCCAGCCAGCCAGGCAGCCAGCCAGCCAGCCAGGCAGCCAGCCAGCCAAGCAGCCAGCCAGCCAGCCAAGCAGCCAGCCAGCCAGCCAAGCAGCCAGCCAGCCAGCCAAGCAGCCAGCCAGCCAGCCAAGCAGCCAGCCAGCCAAGCAGCCAGCCAGCCAAGCAGCCAGCCAGCCAACCAAGCAGCCAGCCAAGCAGCCAGCCATCCAGCCAGCCATCCAGCCAACCATCCAGCCAACCATCCATCCAGCCAGCCAGCCATCCAGCCATCCAGCCAGCCAGCCAGGCAGGCAGCTAGATGGATGGATGGAGTCAATTATTTGTGAGAAGGCAGTTGCATGCCGATCTTATAAAGAAAATACCTAGAACCAGTGCTCATTTTAGTGAATTTAAGGTCAGCAGAGGCTGGTTTGGCAGATTTAAGAACCATCGTGGCATACACAGTGTTGTAAGGCATGGGGAGGCTGCCAGTTCTGACAAATTGGGGGCTGAAAAATATGTGGCCTATCCTCCCTATCTTCCAGATGCCAGCAAGTCGCTTCAATAAAGGTAAGTCAATGTTATTTTAAATGTTTATTTAAATTTTAATTTATCTAGTTTATATTATATATGTACATGTATTTATCTGTGTTTTGTGTATGTAAAACTATAGCTATTCTTTACAAAATGTATTTTCATGAATATTTTTGTGGATCTGGAACGGATTAATTGTATTCACATTATTCCTTATGGGAAATATTGCTTCACCTTTCGGCCATTTCGAGTTGAGGCCTAGCTCCTGGAATGGATTACTGCTGAAACTCAGGGTTCCACTGTAGTTGAGTCAGCTATTTTAACTTTTAATTTTTAAATAATAAGATATTACAAGGACCCCAATGGAAATACAAGGACCCCAATGGAAATACAAGGAATCCAATGGAAATAAGTCACTTTGACATTTTTCAGTTACCATGGTGGCTAATTTACACACACGTCACTATGTATGATAATTTGTGTAACTGTATTTATGTGTATCTGTATCTAAATAAACTTATTACGGAGTCTCCCCTACTTGCGAGCAGGTTCAGTTCCAACTGGTCGTTCGTAAGTCCAACATGAGTATGTATACAGAATATGTGAGCAAGGGAAAAATACATACTGTATGCTAGTAAACAAAACATAGGTTATAAATGAAACAAAGTTTATGTTTATAATAGTTTGTAAATATAAATTTAATAAAACAGACGGGTGTTTATATTATCGGAAGTTTGCAATACAAATGTTCGTACGTAGGGGAGTCTGTACCTTGTTCTCGATACTTCTAATTCTCATGGCTTCATATTTAGCATCATCTTGACCGTGATCCCTCTACACTACTCTACCAGCTTATCACTTCCTCATCAATATAATAATAATAATAATAATTATCCTGGTGTAGTTCTGAGGGTCATCTGATCAGAGGTGTTTACCTGGAGTTTACCTGGAGAGAGTTCCGGGGGTCAATGCCCCGGCAGCCCGGTCTGTGACCAGGCCTCCTGGTGGATGAGAGCCTGATCAACCAGGCTGTTACTGCTGGCTGCACGCAAACCAACGTACGAGCCACAGCCCTGCTGGTTAGGAACCGACTTTAGGTGCTTGTCCAGTGCCAGCTTGAAGACTGCCAGGGGTCTGTTGGTAATCCGCCTTATGTATGCTGGGAGGCAGTTGAACAGTCTCGGGCCCCTGACACTTATTGTATGGTCTCTTAACGTGCTAGTGACACCCCTGCTTTTCATTGGGGGATGTTACATCGTCTTCCAAGTCTTTTGCTTTCGTAGTGAGTGATTTTCGTGTGCAAGTTCGGTACTAGTCCCTCTAGGATTTTCCAGGTGTATATAATCATGTATCTCTCCCGCCTGCGTTCCAGCGAATACAGATTTAGGAACCTCAAGCGCTCCCAGTAATTGAGGTGTTTTATCTCCGTTATGCGCGCCGTGAAGGTTCTCTGTACATTTTCTAGATCAGCAATTTCACCTGCCTTGAAAGGTGCTGTTAGTGTGCAGCAATATTCCAGCCTAGATAGAACAAGTGACCTGAAGAGTGTCATCATGGGCTTGGCCTCACTAGTTTTGAAGGTTCTCATTATCCATCCTGTCATTTTTCTAGCAGATGCGATTGATTACAATGTTATGGTCCTTGAAGGTGGATCCTCCGACATGATCACTCCCAGGTCTTTGACGTTGGTGTTTCCTCTATTTTTTGGCCAGAAATTTGTTTTGTACTCTGATGAAGATTTAATTTCCTCGTGTTTCCATTTGAGTAATTGAAATAGGTTTTAAAGCTAGGGTTTTTGTATAAGTTGTACCAGGGTAGGTTTAAATATTAAAAATTTTTATTTTATTATTTTTTTTATTATTTTTAAAAAGCTTTACTGGCTTTTCAGGCCTATGGGCGGGCCCAAATTTTTAAAATTTTAATTTTCAAGGGCCGCTAAACTAAAAAAACCCCAATCTCTTATGAAATTCAGGGAGCCCAATTGTGTAAAAGAAACTAATTTCCGCACACGAAAGGCCTTGAATCAGCACTGATCGCTGTTTCGAATACAATTAAAAAAAAACGGCGCTCACCATCCCCAAGTCTTAGCAAGAATCCCCCTGAAAACAGAAAACCCTGCCATACATAGTCTCCCCTGTTATACTACACAAAGCACAGGAGTGAACAAAAACAAGCTCCCTCATTCCAGTTTATATTTGCCCAACCTATTTTTATGTTACCAAAGTAATAGCTTTTTACCCTTTTACTCTTCGAATTAATTGCTCTACCTATTTTTTTACTTTTGTCATACCCTACTTACTACTCTACTATCCCATATGAACACGAATGGTACCTCATATTTTCACCTCACTTGAGCCTTTATATACCCTCTGTGTCCAGATTGTTTTAAGGGTTGAAAAACCCCCTGGAGACGAAAGTTGCCACAAAAAAAGTCACTTATTGCACTTGTGTCCTTTTACTTTACAATTGTCGTAATTTACCAACTTATTATGTTTGAAATGAATTGTTCAAGTCCCAAGGTTCCCATGTCTGAGTGTTAGGGGGATGGTGTGGGGGGGCATCCGGGGTGTTAGGTGACGGTGGGGTGGCATCCGGGGTGTTAGGTGACGGTGGGGGGGGGCATCCGGGTTTAGGGATGGGTGGGGGGCCCGGGGTGTTAGGTGCTGGTGGGGTGCACCCCTGGGGAAAAATTAACTTAAGTTGGGGGAAATGCTTAATAACAGGAACTTTCTATATGTATGTCAAGGTGTGAGCTATGGTTGTATAATTGTACCTTTAGGTTTAAATATTTTTATTATTATTTTATTATTTTTTTATTATTATTAAAGCATTACTGTGCATTTCAGGCCTTGGAGCCTAAATATTTAAATAAATTCAGATGGCCGCTAAACTAAAGATAGAAACGGCAAGGAGGGTTTTTCAGAAAGAGATGCAGTATGAAAGAACTGTTTGAAAAGTATAGAAAAATCTTAATCGTTGAGGGGAGTTTTTTGTAACTTGAGTGTCATTTGATTTTGCACTTGAGTGTCACTTGGTTGTACAGTTTATTGTTTCAGTGGAACCCCGGTTTGGCCGCCCTGAGAAAAACCCCCTTGAGTTTCAACCACTTTTTTTTTTTTTTTCGGGCCCAAATTTTTTCCGGTTTTTGCTGTTAACCTGGGTTTTGGGAGCGTACCAGACCCGCCGCCCGCCCCCACTTGCCCACCTCCCCCCCGCAGCGTTTTGAGCCATCTAGCATTGTTTATCCTTGAGTGAAAATTTCCCTGCACATTTATCCTACCAGCCCGCCAGCCCCCCCAGGCAACCCCCAGCCAAAAAGGGCCCCCAGCCCGCCAGCAAGCAGCCAGCCAGCCAAGCAGCCACCCCAAACGCAGCCCGCCAGCCACCAAGCAGCCAGCCAGCCCCAAAAGCCCGCCACCCAAACAGCCCGCCAGCCAGCCAAGCAGCCCGCCAAGCGCCCGCCATCCAGCAGCCATCCAGCCAAACATCCATCCAGCCAGCCATCCGCCAAACTTCCACCCAGCCAGCCACCATCCACCAGCGCCGGCAGGCGCTGGGGATGGAGGGAGTCAATCATTTTGAAAAGGGCAGTTGCATCCCGATCTTAAAAAAGAAAAAAACCTAGAACAGTGCTCATTTTAGTGAATTTGGGTCAGCAGAGGCGGTTTGGGATTTAAAACCATCGTGGCATACACAGTGTTAAAAAGGCTTTGGGGGGGCTGCCAGTTTGACAAATTGGGGGCTGAAAAAAGTGGCCTATCCTCCCATTTTTCCAGATCCCAGCAAGTCGTTAAAATAAAGGGTAAGTCAATGTTTTTTTTAAAATTTTTAAATTTAAATTTTAATTTATTAGTTTTTTAAATGACATGTATTTACTGTGTTTTGTGTAGTTAAACTATAGTTATTCTTTAAAAAAGTATTTTCATGAATATTTTTGTGGGTCTGGAACGGATTAATTGTATTTAATTATTCCTTATGGGAAATATTGCTTCACCTTTTGGCCATTTGGGTTGAGGCTAGCCCCTGGAATAAATTTTATTGCCAAAACTCAGGGTTCCACTGTAGTTGACAGCTATTTTTAAATTTTTTTTTTTAAAAAATAAGATATTACAAAGGACCCCCAAGGAAATACAAGGGGGCCCCCAAAGGAAATAAAGGAAACCAATGGAAAAAAAGTCCT